TTTTATTATTTCTTGCCATCTACTGGGTTTGGATTTGGTTTGTTCTTGTTTTTCCAAATTCTTATTTTTAGGTGTTCTTTTTTTAAAATTATTTTTATTTGATGTGTGTGAGTTTTGCCTGAGTGTATGTCCATGTACCGTGTGAGTACCTGGTATCCACAGAGGCCAGAATTGCATCATCAAATTACTTATTTGTGCTCTTTCTGATTTTTTAAAATGATTTTTCTTTATTTTTTCTTTTATTTTTAAAATTTTATGTGCTTTGGTATTTTGCCTGTATCTATGTCTGTGTGAGGGTATCAGATCCCCTGGAACTGGAGTTACAGACAGTTGTGAGCTGCCATATGGGTGCTGGGAATTGAACCGGGGTCCTCTGGAAGAACAACCAGTGTTTTTAAATGCTGAGCCATCTCTCCAACCCTCTTTCTGGTTTTTTAATGTAGGAACTTATGCCTTTACTGTGTCCCAGGGGTTTTATTGTCTGGTGTTTTCATTTTCCTTTAGTTTGAAGAATATTTTGATTTTTTTTCTTCATTTCTTTGACTCATTCCGAATGAGCTGTTTAATCTCCATGAGTTTATACACATACTAGAGTTTTGTTTGCTGTTGATTTTGTTGCATAATGGTCAGATAGCATGCATAACTATTTCAATTTTTCTGTGTTTGTGAAAATTTGTTTTATGTTCCAGCCTGTGACCTGGTTTGCAGAGGCATTCCGTGTGCTGCTCAGTAGAATTGAATATTCTCTGGTACTTCGGTAAATGTTCTGTAAGTGCTTGTTAGGACTGTTTGATGTAAGATGTCATTAAATCTGAGGTTTCTCTGCTAATTTTTTTCCCCCAGAGGACTATCTATTAGAGAAAGTAAGATGTTGAAGTCGCCTTCTGTTATTCAGTTTTTGTTAATCTGTGTCTTTAGTTCCATTTGCATGGTTTTTATGAAATTGAATGTGTCAGAGTTTAGTGTACATAGGTTAGTATTGTAATATTTCTTGATTAATTGATGTCTTGGTTAGAATAAAGTACCCTTCTTTGTCTCTTTTGATTAGCTTTAGTTTGAAGTCTAGTTTTTCAGATAGCAGAATGGCAGGCAATGCCTCCTTGCTCACTGGGCCTATTTTCTTGGAATACTTCGCTTTATATTTCATATTTCACTTTAACGTGCTGCCAGTCTTTAACGCTAAGATGGGTTTCTTAAGCCAACAGGGTTTCTTTGTAGCTTTGTAGCCTATCCTGGAACTAGCTCTTGTAGACCAGGCTGGCCTCGAACTCACGGAGATCCACCTGCGTCTGCCTCCCAAGTGCTGGAATTAAAGGTGATTTTGTTTCTTAATCCATGCTCCCTTGGTTGTGGGGCAGAGGCTTGCTGTGGGNTGGAGAATTGACACTTTTTTAAAGTAATTTAATTTTTTTAGATATAATTTATTTATTTATTTATTATGTATACAATATTCTGTCTATGTGTATGCCTGCAGGCCAGAAGAGGGCACCAGACTCCATTACAGATGGTTGTGAGCCACCATGTGGTTGCTGGGAATTGAACTCAGGACCTTTGGAAGAGCAGGCAATGCTCTTAACCTCTGAGCCATCTCTCCAGCCCTAGATATATTTATTTTATATGTGTATTTTCCTTGAATGTATGTCTGTACACCACATGCATGCCCGTGCCCACAGAAGAGAATATTCATACCCTGACCAGAACTATGGCTGATTATGAGCTGCCATGTGGGGGCTGGTAACAGAACCCAAGGTCTCTGCAAGACCAGCCAGTGCTCTTAGCAGCTGAGGCATCTTTCCAGCCCTCCCCTCCCCCATTTTGTTTTGTTTGTTGAGGTAGGGTCTTGCTATGTATCCCAGACTGTCGCTGTGACCTCCAGCTCACAGTCTTTCTCCCTTAGCCCCCCTGTGCACACTGTACTCATCCTGCTCCCCTGATGCAGTTTAACAGGCTTGGTCTGCTGGTGGCAAATCCTTTCTGTTTCTGCTTTTCTAGGAGAGTTCATTGGTCCATTTCTGTAGAGTAATTGAGAATTCTGTCTTCATCTTGCACTTTTGATGTTTTGACCTAATATTCCTTGGAGAAGCTTTTTTTTTGGCTCTTTGAGCTTCTTGGATCTGGATGTCCATGTCTCATTGAAGGCTTCGGGGGCGTAGCTCAGTGGTAGATTATTTGCTGTATGAACAGAACCCTGTGTTCATTCCTCAGCACCACAGACAGGCAGGGAAGCAAGGTGTGGCCTTGGAGGGTTTGTCTCCTGGGGATGGATGGATTTGGAGGTTTCAAAAGCCTGTACCAGGCCCAGTCTCTCTGCTGTCTGTGGATCAGGATGTGAAGCTCTCAGCTGTTCTCCAGTGCCGTGATAATGAAGTAAGCCTCAGAAACCGAGCACGCCCCCAGTTAGGTGCTTTCTTTTGTGAGTTGCCTTGGTCATAGTGTCTCTTCATGGCAATAGAACAATGAATAAGACAGAAATCTTTAGGAGTTTCGGCTGTTACTTTAACAAAGAGATTTTTAGTGTTTTCCCCCTGGAATTCATGTAGTGCAACTGTCTGTTTCCTTAAGGATTTCCCATGTGTCTCAGAGTACGGAGTACCTGCTGAGGCCAGAGCTGTTTAGATCTCCTGAAGTTGAGTTACGGATGGTTGTGAGCTCAGAACTCTGGTCCTCCGACATGGATGCTAGGAACTAAACTCTGGTTCCCTGGAAGAACAGTTAAGTGAGGGCTTTTTTTTTTTTTTTTTTTTTGTTTTTGAGACAGGGTTTCTCTGTAGCTTTGGTGTCTGTCCCGGAACTAGCTCTTGTACACCAGGCTGGCCTCGAACTCCCAGAGATCCGCCTGCCTCTGCCTTCCGAGTGCTGGGAATAAAGGCGTGCATCACCACCGCCCGGCTTTTTTTTTTTTTTTTAAGACAGGGTTTCCCTCTGAAGGTCTGACTACCCTGGAACTCACTATGTAGTCCTGGCTGGTCTCAAACCAGATTTGCATGTCTCTGCCTCTGCTTCCCACATACTGGGATTTATGGCATGTGCCACTATCTGGCCTAGCAAGTGTTCTTAGCTCCTGAGCCATCTCTCCAGACTCTAAGTCTGATGAATTATTTCAAAAGACTTGCGCTCAGCTCAGAAATTCTCCTAGTTTATTACTGAAGCTATTGAGAATTATTTTTCAGGCAACCCACGGATTTCCTTTGACGTGATCTCCACTTCCCGAGAATTCCTGTGTCCTTTACAGGTGTCGTGCATCCTTGATTTTTAAAATTTCTCCATTGATGTCTCCACATCTGGCATAATAGTTGCCCTTTCCAGTTTTGTGTAGTAGCTTTCATAGGACAAAGCCTTTAGATAGGGTTTAGGGTGCCCGTGTTTGGGCCTTGCTTATAGGTGAAGGTGGAAGTGTGGCCTGTGTAGTTTCTCGATGTAGTCAGTGTCACCAGAGCTCTGTAGTCCTTCATCGTCCAAGCTGCAGCAGTGTGTGAGAGATTTGCAGTGGACATGGGATTCTAAATGTGTGTTTTCTTACGTCCTGCATACTTGTGTGCCTGTGACCCTGGTGCCTATGATGTGGCAGTTGAAGTTCTGATGCGACAGAATGTGGAGGGTGCTGTCACTAGGTCTTGTGGGGCAAGTGTAGGTGATGGCAAGATTGTGGCACTGGTAGGTATGGTCTTGGAGCCGACGACATTGGTAAGATCTTCTCTAGGTCCCACTGGGCAGCATGGATGACTACTGACCACATTCCCGGCATTGTAGGCCATACAGGGACTCTGCTCCAGGCCTCGGCATGCAAGCCCCTGTGATGGTGCACTTTTGATATCAGCAGTTATGATCTCAAAGATATAACATATGGGAGAGGCTTCTAATTCCTATGAGGTGAATGCAGGTAAGGCTAGGGTTGTGGTGTTGGAGCTACAGGATACCAAGAAGTCTGTGCTCTACCCTGGGAGAGCAGGCTCAGTGCTTTTGGTAACTCCTGGCCCCTAAAACAGAATAATATCTAGCAGTGGCTTTTGTAGCGGCTTGTGTTCTGAGGACTAGGGAAGGCCAATCTGAGGTCATTGTTTGGAGCAGAGTGGTCACTGAGAGAAAGAGAGAGATAGAAACAGACAGTGAGAGGCACGGTCAGAGACACAGACACAGAGAAAGACGGCTGGGTGAGGTGGGAAAGCTCTGTTTACCCAGTCAGTACCACAGACTACAGTGTGGATCCTCCTTTCTTGACTAATAATTGGTATCTGTACAAAGAGGATTGGGCAATATATTCTTATCAGGGTCGGTCATCCATGACTTATGACTGCCTTGATGAATATAATTATAAATATGAAATTGCAAACAGTGCCAGGTGTGATGGCATAATGCCAGTACTTCTAGTATGGCCAAGTAAGACACAGGGAACTCGAGACCACCCTGGGCTACATAGCAAGTTCAAAGCTTGTCTGAGCTACATGTGAGACCCTGTTTCAGAGAAACCAAGGGCTGTGGATCTAGCTCAGCAGTAGACCACTTTCCCAGATGCACCTGGTGTGACCCTGATTACTGGGGGAAAACAGAAGTAGAAGAAAATGAAACTAGCACACATGTCACTGCTTGTGTGCACACAACACTATAAATGCATTCATGTACACATGACTGTATAGGTAGCTCTGAGAGGGCTGGCCAGGAGGGGGACAGACGTCTATAAAACTTGAAAGAGGATCCTTAGGAGGACCTTGTGCAGATATATAGTGGTAGGGACATTACAATCACAAGGTCGTATGCATGGCCTTGTCTATAGTACTTGCTCTCCTTGTGGTTGCCTGGTGGGCACAGGAGTAGAGGTCTCCTGTAGGGGGTGGTGGGGGCGAGCACAGTTCTTGGTTCTGATCTCAGCCGTCTCTGCCCTTTACTTGCAGGGCAGAGACCCAGAGCTGCCTTGAGGCTGTACCAACTCCTACTAACTATAATCTAAAGGAAATTGAAATATTTCAGCCTCACCTGCGCACTGATTGTTTCTTTTCCCATAGGGGCAGCTACTACAGTCTTGCGTGTAGCACAGCTACCTAGGGACAGATGAGCAGTGATGTGCGCGTCCACTCCTGGCCTTGCTCCTACTACCTGAACCTTGAGAAGCAATGGGTTCCTGGGAAGCTGACTCTGACACCTCGGTCACTGAAGTTCAGTGCGGACAGAACTGAAGAGGTCCTTGTGGGCCTGCCTCTCTCCAGTATCACTGAGATCAGGAAGGAGTCTTCTCTCTTTATCTTCAGTGCCATCACAGTCCTGGAGAAGGGCCAGGCCAAACACTGGTTCAGTTCACTGCGGCCCAGTCGCAATGTTGTCTTCAACATCATCGAGCACTTCTGGAGGGAGCTGCTACTGTCCCAGCCAGGCACTGCTGCCAGGACAGCCTCCCCCATGACCAGGGGGCAGGAGCTGTTGGGACTGATGGCTAGTTCCCAGAGACGCATGGAAGACACATCAAAGGTCCTTCATCACCAGGGCGAGCAGCTGGACAGCGTCATGAGGGGCCTGGAGAAGATGGAGTCAGATCTAGATGTGGCTGACAGGTGGGCAAACCCCAAGGTCTGCTCTGCTTCTAGAAAGGCGGTTTCCTCTCAGCAGTCTCATGGGTAGGACATTTCCAGCCTCCAGAGGAAAGGCCATGTGTGGGACGCATCCCAAAGAGCCACTGCCTGTCACCACCTGCATCCTGTTGGTTTCAGAGAGTAGGGAGGCGAGTGTCCATATTGTGATGGGCTGCATGAGGGAGGTGTCTTGTTCTGTTCGTGTGTGTAGTCCCTGTGTGCTGGTTAGTCAAGTTTCCAGTTCTCAGGTCATGAGTATGATCTGTGAACCCTCCTGGTGGTGAGCTGCTTTGATGGAGACAATAGTTTGGAGGTTTGTTTGTTTTTTATGTACTGTGAAATGCCTTCCTCGAGTTTGTCCTTCAGAATGGGCTTTTTTTTTCTTGTTTTGTTTATATGGTTTCTTTGATAACTTTTTCACATCGCTTTAAAAAATGTGACCCATGTGGAGCACCAGTTTTTGTTGTCCTTTATTGGTTTTCTTGTGTTTCCTCTTCATTTTGCTCTATCCTTTTGTTTTCACTCTGGTTTATACTTGTTGAGTTTTTCTTTTATTTCTGTTAGGTTTCAGTTTCTAAGAATTAGTTTGGTTCTGCACATGGTATTTGGCTCATGCTCCAGCACTGCTCCCAGTCTGTTTTAGCTTAGCATTTCAGTTGTTTTCTTTTGTTTTTGTTTTTGGGGACTGGTTTTTCAGGACAGGGTTTCTCTGTGTAGCCCTGGCTTTCCTGGAACTTGCTTTGTAGACCAGGCTGGCCTTAAACTCACAGAGATCTGCCTACCCCCCTCCCCAGTAGTGAGAAAGATTAAAGACATGCACCACCACTGCTCAGGTGCCTTTTTTTGTTTTATAGTAGCCAATCTCTTCCAGTTTCCTCTTTGTCTGGATGTCTTTGTTTTTTGTCTTTAATCAGAAGCATTTGTCCCAGGGTCCCTGTGTAAGGACACTCTGAACTGAGTTACCAATAAAACCTCATCTCGTGTCCCTGCCTCCCTCCTGCAGTATGAGCCTTGTAGACCTTGCTTGCCTTGGCATAGAGGATCCAGCTCTCTTCTATCCATTCTGCTAGACAGTGTCTCCTCCCAAGTGCCCAGGTTGGGTGTCGAGTCACCATGTCTTCCTCCCAGCCAGCGTGCTCTGTCACTGACCCTGATCCACCCCTGCCTTTAGAGGACCCTGGATTTTAAGCTCCTCCTGCCACTGGTGTGTAGAGAAGTTTCTACAGTCTTTTGGCTGTCTTTTCCCTGTCCTTAGGGAAGTTGTGTTCAGCTTGTAGTTCTTGAACAGCATTCCCTAGCCATTCTTCCGAAGGCCCATCTTTGAGAGCTCCTTTTTAGCACCTCAAGTTCAAACTTGTTTTAAATTTCTGTGCTTATGTTTCAGAAATTAGTTTGAAAACGTACTCTTTCTGGTTTTTGCAACTATAGCCCTCTATCTATAGTTCTGTTTTTGTTTCAGTTACCCCAGAGTCCCTCTGAAAATATTAGGTAGAAAAATGGACCTCTTTGGGAGCCTGTAATGTCAGTGCCACTCTGAGTAGCCTGGTGAGAGCTGAGACATGGTTGCCTGCCTCCGAGATGTGGAGCAGCCCTTTGTCTGGCCTGTCTGTACTGTTCGCTGCTATGTCAGTCACTAGCAGCCTCTTGGGTCATCAGGTTTTTAGTGCTCTGTCCAGAAGTATTTCACTTAACAGTGATCCCAGTGTACCACGGTCGTGGTGCTTGTGACCTGGATACGCCAGGAAGAGGCTGCAGAAAGAGACCAGGAAGAGGGTTGGAGAGGGAGACTCCTCACTCACAATTCCCATTACAATGTAGGGCCTGGGAGCATGCGCTCCTTGTGGATGAAGGACTGTGTCTGTAAAGAGCATGCAGTGCTCCCAAGCCTCTGTGTGGTGGAGTGGCCAGGCTCTTTTGGTGCTTCTTGGGTGTGATGGCCTTTGCTGTAGTCCACTCCTGGTTTAGGGATGTGCTCAGAGAGGGCTTGTGGATGGGCCGAAGACACATCCTCCCCTCTTATCAAGCCAAAGAGATTCTTTTAGTTGGACCACGCCATGGAGGTAGGCCTGTGTCAGGCTTGTCACGGGAGCAGAGGCAGCAGTATCTGCAGACTGTTCAGAGTTGGCAGTTCTGTTCTTGCTGGGCTCTGCTTAGCTGGTCCTCGGGATGAAATGTGATAAAATGGATGTGGAGAGCAAACTCCTATGTGTTCCAGGAATAGAGTTCTCATGATGTCTCCCCTTCTGGTTGACCGTGTCACAGCCTGTCTGCCTCTGTGCACATGGATGCGTACTTTCCGGGAACTCGGATAGTTCAGCATATCTCAGTCTGCCAAGTTAGAGTTCCTGTTGTTTACTTTTGGTTTCTGTTGGGAAATGAGGTTTAATCTGGACACACTGGGTACATCTGAGCTCCTGTCTTCTCCATGAAAACTCAGCAGATGAGTCAGAGAGAAGTGAGGTCCTGCCGGTGCAGGGCCAGTCTCGATAGATGCTGGCTCGGTGCTCTTCTGAGCTCTGTTCAGTGCTCCTCCAGACAGTGCTCCCCATTAAAGAGCCCGCTCCATCACCACTCCAGCACATCCTCCCACCTGCCCTCCTGCTGTTTCCTGCACACTTCCGCCAGTAGCCCCTCAGCTCTCAAGGACACCTCAGCAGAACCAGAGCTTTTGTGCTGTTAGTGTTGGAACAGATGTCTCAGTGTGAGGTCCCAACTGTTGGCTTCTTGTGTTTTCAGCGTGTGCCTGCTTGTCAGTGTCACACAGCCTGTTTCCATGGTAGGCTAGACAGAGGGCACCTTCTATGTCTGAGCGCAGTGCTCTGTGGTCTGGGCATGTTTGGTTCCTTGTCTACCATGGTGCCTGTAATGCTCCCCAGAGAGAGTGGCCTCCAGCCTCAGAACTTACTGGGAGGGAGGGACTTGTGCGTAAAGGAAAAACATGCTGCTGTTCTTTTGTCTTTTGTTTACCACTTGTTGGTTGTGGTTTTATTTAGAGTAGCCAAATCAGGAAGTGGCTCAAGTATCTATCAACAGATGGACAAAGAAAATGTGACACACACACATACGCACGCATGTGCGTGCGCACACACATACACACAGTAGAATATTACTCAGCAATAAAGAAGGATGAAATTGTGTCATTTATAGAGAAATGGAGGGACTGGAGATCAGTGTGCTGCATTAAATAGCAGACTCAGAAAGAAACAGATTGTGTGTTCTCTCATATGCAGAAGACAGATGGGGGCGTGAAAGTAGTAGTTGGACTATCTGGAAGAGGGAGGAGACCCAGTGCGGGGACACGAATGTAACAGTCTACTAGTCACTGGGAACAAACACCTAACTAGGAGCAACCTGTGAGGGTATTTTGACTGGCAGCTTCAGAAAGGGTATATCCCCTTGTCAGGCAGAAGGTATAGAGCAGGAGGCTGTTTGCATTCCCATTCCAGGAGCGGGTCTGAGGACGTAGAAAGGATGGGCAGGACCAGAGCAAGACCCAGCGGGCTGTTTCTGTGGAGAGCTGTGATGAGCACACCCAGTCACAGAGACACAGTGGCGGTGGTCAGCACAGTGGGCTCTGAATGAGAATCCCTGGTCAGAGCAGCAGTGTCCCTCACACATACACGGGGAAGGAAGATATGGTTGATCTATGCAGTGAAATACTGTTCAGCCCTGAAGAATAAAGTCCAGCTATTTGTAGAGTACAAACGACCCTGGGAGTTGTGGTAGTCAGTTAAGTAACTACAGCCCCAAAGGACAAATACTGTGTGTTTTCATTTGTGGAAATCGGAAGCAGTGGGGGCTTGTCCATGTTTGTAGCTCCTGCCTGACACAGTAGGTCCCCAAGCCCACCTTGGCAGTCCTCCAGTTCTATAATACGTAAGTAGAGTAGACACACTCAGGAGTGAACAGAGCCCCGTGTGGGTCCCCGACATGTGTTGGGAGAGCCATCATGGTGATAAAGAGTAACCGAGAACTCCTTCCGTTGAAGAACGTAGAGCCAGCAGCTTAACTGTGAAGGGTTTGCAGAGGGAGAGCCACCACAGACGGCTGTACATTAGCTCCTTTGACCCTTCCTTGGGTTGCACTGGTTTGCAGTTCACAGAACTTGTTTTGGCTGGTTTACCATGAGAATACTTACCAAGGATACAGATGAAGACATATAAGAGGTCAGGTATGTGGAAGTGAAGGGGCTTCCCTGCCCTTCCTGGGCACATCCCCCACAGAACCCTCCACATGTTCAGTTCCTGGGAAGCTCTAAGTGTCTCTGGGGTTTTATCAACACTTCATTACATGGGGTTGATTGGTTGAACCACTGGTCATTGGTGATCCCTTCAGCCTTCAGCCCTCCTTCCTTCTCTGGGGGCTGAGATGAGGTTGAGGGTCCCAAGCCTCTGATGCAGCCCTGGTCTCTCAGTGACCAGCCCCACCTGGTAGCTCTCCAGGGCTGCTGGGAGCAGGGGTTCGTCAGCACGTGGTGACCCGTTACTTCCAGATTCCCAGGAAACAGGATGAGGACCAAAGGTATTCCAGAAAGTCATATGTGAGGAACGTCTGCGAGACTTGGCGCTTCAGGATTCTGCTTACTTTCTGTTTTCATTCTGGGGAAAAAAAAAATGTTGTTCAAGTTTTTGTTTTGTAAGTGCCCTTTATCAGTTTGAGAAAGTTTTCTTTCTGTGACAGAATTCTTGGGACTCGATGCTGTTCTGTTGGGATCACAGCTTCCCGGGTTCACTGTCAGTGAGACGGTTATAACTGACTGATTTTAGTTCCGCTGTCCTCATCTTCCTGGGTGAATACCTCTGGCTTACTTGTGGGTTAGTAATTTTTAATGTCATCGGGTGTGCTTGCTGATTTGACCGTGTTGGGATTCGTATGTCGCATGGGGTCGGTGGGGCAGGCAGCCTGTGAGGCAGAGGGCGGTGCTGCCCTTGCACCGTTCTTTGACGGACTGCAGACAGTCAGTTGTTGGTCCTTGTCTTTGGCAGAGTTCACCAGGGAAGCCACTCAGGCCACAGTGTCCTCTCTGTCCTCTCTGGTGTCATCCTTACAGATTTAGTTTCTTTTTAAAGATATTCATATTTTTTTCCTTGCCTGGGTTTCAGAGGTTGGGCTGTCTAGTGTTGTACGTTTCAGGGAAGTTGTTAGAATAATGTTTATAAGACTTTCACCATTTCCAGTCCTATGTCAGAAATTTATATTTTCTCTATTTCTTTTTAGTTTTTGTTTTTTGAGACAAGGTTCTCTGTGTAACAGCCCTAACTGTCCTGAAACTAACTCTGTATACCAGGCTGGCCTCGAACTCACAGAGATCCACCTGCCTCAGCTTTCCAAATGCTGGGATTAAAGGCTTGCGCCACCACTGCCTGACTTCTACCTCTCTTTTTAAAGACAAGGTCTCACTATGTGGTCCTGGCTAGCCTGGAACTCACTTTGTAAACCAGGCTGGCTTCTAACTCAGAGATCCGCCTGCCTCTGCCTTCAGAATGCTGGCGTTATAATCACAGATCACTCAGATCCGTGTGTATACAGGCACATGTTGCCATAGATTTGTATGGAGGCAGTTTTCTCCTTCCGTCACATGGTTCAGAGGATCAGACTCGGCTCTTTAGGCGTGCTGGCAAGTTCCTTCACCTCCTGAGCTGTTTCCCGACACCAGTTTCTTCCTTTCCTTTTTTTTTAAACCTCTTGCTTCTAATTTCACTGTATTTTTAGTCTTAATTTTAAACCAGTTTGAAGTAGAAGCCTAAATAACTAATTTTAGACCTTTCATTTATTTGTTTGTTTGTTTGTTTATTTTGGATTTTTGAGGCAGTGTTTCTCTGTGTAGCCTTGGCCTTCTTGGAACTCACTCTGTAGATCAAGCTGGCCTTGTATTCAGAGATTAGTCTGCCTCTGCCTCCCAAGTGGTGGGATTAAAGGTGTGGTTACCACCATCAATTGTAAGCCTTTCTAATATACACATACGTGTTGGAAACTCACTTTTCTCAGATGGAGTCATGCTTGCTCCTCGTGTGTATTGTATTTTCATTGTTACTCACTTTAAATGTTTTCTTCTTTTTGTAAGATTTGTTTTTATGTGTAGTGTTTTGCCTCAATCTATGTCTGTGTGTGTGTCACATGCATGCTTGTGCCCTTGGAGGTCAGAAGGTGTCAGATCCCCTGGAACTGGAGTTACAGATAGTTGGAACCCAGGTCCTCTGCAAGAGCAGCAAGTGCTCTTAGCCACTGAGCCTTTGCTCCAGCTCCTTCAGATGTTTTCTGATTTCCTTTTTGCATTTTTAGTGCATGTACTTCAGTGTGCATTAATCTGCAAATATTTCCAGTTTTGTGTTTGTATTTGGACATAGTGGCTTAGCAATTAGCTGCATTCCAGGCCTGAGTGTTCTGTATCCAGCTGAAAGTGTTGTGCGTTCATCAGTTGCTGGGCGATTCTGTGACCAGTCAGGCTGAGCTACCATAACACTGTTCAAAATCCCAAATTCTTATTAATTTTTTGTCATTTTGTCCTCTTAGCCATGGAAATAAATGTAACTGCTGATTGTCTGTTTTGTCAGTAGTTTTGCTCAATGAATTTCACAGTGGTGTTATTTGGTACATAGATGTTTAGTGTTGAGTCTGCCTGTTGGATGGATTCCTTATCATACGGTGCCTCTGGTCACGTCTGTTTGCTGTCAGCATCTGTGTATCATGTGTACATTTCAATTCTTTGTTTTCTGTGGATCTGTTCTTTCATATTTTACAGTGTTTTCATGAACAAGTATAGCTGCCTCTTGTTTCTTTCAAGCTGATAATGCCTTTATCTTGGGCCACTTGCTTTTAGTCTGAGTGCTTACCTTGTTCAGTTTAACTCATTTAATCCCGCCTTATGTTTGCCGTTTGTTCTTTTTGATAGCTGATTTTTCTTTTATTTTTATTTATTTATATTTCATGTGTGAGTGTTCTGGCATGCCAGAAGAAGGCACCATATATCATTATAGATAATTGTGAGCCACCATGTGGTTGCTGGGAATTGAACTCAGGTCCTCTGGAAGAGCAGCCAGTTCTCTTAACCACTGAACTGTCTCTCCAGCCCCCATACTTGCTTTTTCCTGCCTCCATTTGATGCATTGGGTCTATTTCTTGGTGTTGCAGTTATGCTGTGCAGTCTAGTAGACACTAGCTTTACTAAAACTGAATTATATCAGGCTGGGAAGGGCTTTAAACATAGAGCTCTTACCTAGTATGCACAAGGCCCTGAATTTGATTCCCCGGCTCTACAAACCATTAATTGAGTTTCTTAGTTGCCATGGCTGTATATAAAGCGTTGTTTTAGACATTGCAGGCAGAGCGTCTCCATTCTGCGGAAAGCTTTAGCAGACAGCTCTGGAGAGCTTGGTGGGTTGACGAATCCATGAATGGATTCTGAGTCAGAACTCTCAGGTCAAGGCCTAGTGTGGAAAGAACATGAGTCATATGTACGTGTTTGCTGTATCTTTGGTTACCTGGACCCCTCTAGACAGGTGTGCTTACCACCCCAAGCCTCAGGTCCCCACCCTTTGCTCTTTCTGCTTCATGAGTTCTTGTTGGAGAAGGCTGGCTATGAAATGGTAACATACTCTACAAGATTAAAGCAGTCTTCTGGAGAAAAACAAACAAACAAACAAAAAACCAAAGGCCTTACACCTCAAAACTGACTGTCTCTGCTTTCCATGTTTTCTTTGCTCTTTTAGATTGCTGACAGAATTGGAGTCTCCTTCCTGGTGGCCTTTTAGCTCTAAGCTTTGGAAGACGCCGGCAGAAGCCAAACCCAAGGAAGGTGTCTCTGCAGCCGCTTGTGAGCCCTTTGGAAAGGAAGGGGTAGTGATCAGAGTCCCTGCTATTGTTTCTCAGAGAACAGAGTCTCATGCCAAGCCAGGAAAGCTCACTGTCCTGGTCTCTGCTTTGGAAATCCACGACTCCAGTTCATCGCTCCTGCACAGGTTTGAGAGGGAAGATGTGGATGATATCAAGGTTCACTCTCCTTATGAGGTCAGCATACGCCAGCGGTTCATCGGGAAGCCAGACGTGGCTTACCGGCTGATATCTGCCAAGATGCCAGAGGTCATTCCCATTTTAGAAGTGCAGTTCAGCAAGAAGATTGAGCTCCTGGAAGATGCCCTAGTGCTTAGGAGCTGGGCCCAGACTGCCCCTGCAGAGGGTAGCTGCTTCATGCGTGCAGGTGAGTGGCCAGCAGGGCAGTTCGCTTACTGACTTCCAAAATTAGAGTTTCCCTCAGCATGCTGTGGTATGTGTTCAACATGCGCATCTGTCAGCAGCTGTGGGCTCTCGCTCGCAGGCAGTCATGGGCTTGTACAGCCCTTCCAGATGGCCAAGTTGCACCTGTCCTTGACAGATAATTGGGTTTCAGAATAGGACAGTGCCAAAGCTTGGTTCTTGACTGTCTTTCAAAGGCTTACCTCTCGGGGTGGTACTGTTAGGAGACAGTGGGGCCTTTAGAAAGAAGGCCTTCTTGCAGGGCCCTTCGGTTGCTAGAGGCTTGCTCTCTCCTTCCTCCTCTCTCCCTGCATGCTGGTGTTAGTGAGCAGTTCTGTTCCTGTCCTGGTGCACTGCCTCACCACAGGTACTGGGTAGGACCCTCTAAAACCACGAGATAGAGTCAGTCTTTTCTCTTGCTAAGTTGGTTGGGTATTTCTTTGTGGTATAGGAGACTGATTAGTATAAGCAGAGGTATTGTCAACCCATTTTGTGTTGCTTTAAAAAAAAAATAGCAGAAGCTAGGTATTGTATAAAGAAAAGATTAGGCAGCTCACCATTCCGAAAGCTTAAAGCTCAAGATTGGACAGCTCTATCTGGTCTCTGGTGAGGGTCACATGGCAGATATACAATGGGGAGAGCGCTTGGCAAGACGGGATGCTGAGGAGATTCAAGTGTCAGACTTCACCTTCACAACAGCCATCTTTCTCAGAAATGTACTAGGATCCCATAATCCTTTCCAGAGACAGTATCCTTGTGACCTGATGACCTCCCCCTAGGCTCTGCCTCTCAGAAGTGCCACTGCTTTCCAACATCACTTAATACCTAGCGTATGAGCCCTTGGAGACACTTACATCATATCTGAACAGTAGCAAAGGGTTTGGGTAATTCAGCCAAAGGAAGTTTCAAGTCTGGAGCCCTTGCCTCTGCTTAGCCTAACTCAAGAAGTGGCACTCTCAGATGCATTCTGGCTTGACCCACACCACACCTAGCATGTCCCCACTAGCCTACCACTATCCGTTGGCATTGATTTGAGTCTTCCCAGCCACTTCCCAGATGTACATTGTAGGGGTCTGGATCCTTGAGTTCTTGGACACAGGGCTGAGTTTTCAAGTCCAGGTGCTGTGCACTGGGTCAAGTGGGACAGCAGAACTGAGCACCGAGGTCCAGGTTGGGAATAGTACCTTTGGGCATGGGGTCTGTGCACTCACCGTGGTATCCAGTTTCCCTGGATTAGGGTTAGCAAGGTGAGGACCCAAGTGTGTCAGGTGAGATGCTCCAGTGTGAAGCTGCACATCTGTCAGTGTGAGAAAACAAGTGGCCATGCTTAGCCCTTCCAAGAGAGGCTCGCAAGACATGGAGTGTCTGGGGCTGGAGGATGGCACAGTGGTTAAGAGCACTGACTGCTCTTCCAGAGGTCCTGATTCCCAGCAACCACATGTGGCTCACAACCATTTATAATGGGATCTGATGCCCTCTTCTGGCATGTAGACACACATGCAGACAGAGTACTCATACCAAAAGGAAAAGCAAACAAACAAACAAAAGACCCAGAGTGTCCAGTGAGGTACAAGCAGAGAAGCAAGGAGTGGGGTCTGTCCTGGTGGAGGTAGGAGTAAGGAGATGGTGAAAGCCAGCATGGGATATCGTGAGTGGGTGGTAGCTGTCCCAGGGGAAGGATGACTGAGGGAGGAAATGCCATCCTCGAGGTGGGGCTTCAGGTAGGACACATTGTAATGTCTTAGGAAGGTGGCAGCTGTCCCAGTGGAGGGAGGACTGAGGAGGTGTCACTGGCCTACAAGTAAGGTAACCTCCTAAGAAAGTTTTCATGTCACTGGATTGGTGGCTTCTATAACTCATGAAGTAATAGAGGGTCACTGCAAGATAGGCATCCATCCAATGGGTCTTGTTTGGCGGGAGTTCTGCCAACCCCCTAGTGTTAGTAGTCTTGGCTTGTCCACAGCTGCAGTGGTTCGCTGTCTTTAGGAAAGCCATGGGTGTACTTCCTGTTTCCACTCCTGGTCGGAGCAGTCCCCCCGCTGGTGCAGGCCAGCCTCCCTTATTATAGACATTGGCTTCAGAGATGTCTTCGTAGCCATACTCTTAGCTACAGCATGTTGGGATTTGATTGAGTTACTGGGGACCTGTCCTTTGCAAGGGGCACAGGAAAGTGGTCGTCACAGGAGCTCTTGTGTGTGGGGGTGAATGGAACATTAGAAGCATGACGGTCTGTGTTATTTTTTGTATCCTAGGGATTCCTTCTGTGTTTTGAGTGTCCTTGAAGGGAAGTGCTATCCTCACTTCTAGTGGATGGCCGTGCCTCCCAGCTGGCTGGTCTGTGTAGGAAGCTCACATGTACTGAGGTTTAGTAGGGGAGATGGCTTCCAAGTAGGTGGGAACTCAGTGGTTTTCTTGTCCACAGCTTGGTGGGAGGGTTGGCACCTCGCCCACACCTTCATGTGCTGCAGTGCAGCCAGCTTATATCTTACCACTGGGAGGTGGAAACTGGAGGCAGTGCCCACGCCCCAGCCTCTTCTGAAGCTGTGCTGTGTGCATGTGGCCACACAGGGGCAGTCTTGAAGCATGGTGAGCTTCTGCTGCTGGGAATTAAACTTTCCCCGGGAAGCTCCCCAGAGATTGCTGTGGTGAATGCTTCCTGCAGATCACAGAGGCTGCCAGTGTCAAGGGCCCGGGCCTGGAGTGCAGGAAGATTGGCATGTTGTCTTAGGACAGCACAGCTTGATTGCTGTTCCTCTTCGTAGCATCCTTAGAGACGTGAGCCTAGAATACTTGCAGGTTTTCAGGGTCGTTGCCTCTTGTTTGGTGGCACGAGTTTGCAGGTGTCTCCGACTCTGACTTTCAGATCATGGAATAAGTGAATAGTGATGAGGTCATGGAGCGTAAGTCTGCATACGAGACTCACTGCTGCTTCATGTCTGTCTTGTCCACATAGGCTGGGGCGATTTTATACGTTGTCTTCAATGATTCTGTGCATAGATAGGCTCAAAGTGTCCTGGAGTTTGTGGTATGAACTCTGGGTTTTTACAGTTTTGAGTCCTATGTTGCCCCCAGCCTCAAATGTGCTTTGTCATCAGCTCCTAATGTTAGTGTGCCTCTTTGTCATGTCTAGGGAGCACCCATGCCAGGTACCTATCTCTTACCTCCACCTGGTCCCTATTTCCCCAGACATCCAGGGTCCTGTGGTTGTAGGTTCCTGGGCTCCCTTGCTTTGACAGTGCCTTAAAAAGCCTATAGAGGACTCCCTGCTAGAGTACATGATAACCTGTTCCAGACTGTCTTTTAAGGCAGAGCTGGGAATTCCTGGGAGTCCTAGGATACAGGCATTTGTCATAGTCAGGGTTTCTATTGCTGTGATGAAGCACCATGAGCAAAAGCAAGTTGGGGGAAGAGAGGGCTTGTTCTGCTCACACTCCCATGTAACAGCTCATCATCAGAGGCAGTCAGGGCAGGAACCTGGAGGCAGGAGCTGATGCAGAGACCATGGAGAGATGCTGCTTACTGGCTTTTCCTATGGTTTGCTTAGATGCCCTTCTTGTATGACCCGGGAACATCAGCCCAGAGGTAACCCCACCCATAATGGCTAGGCCCTTCCCCTTCACTCAATAAGAAAATGCCCTATAGGCTGCCTACAGATTGATCTTAGGGAGGCATTTCCTCAGTTGGTTTCCTCTTCTCTGGTGACTCTAACTTATGGCAAGTTGACATAAAAACTAGCCATAACAGCGCCCCAGGGTGAGGTCCTCAAGTGTGCAAGTCCTGTGCTGTGTTTGGCTGAGCTCTCACAAGGAGTCCGTGATGATACACATACTGCCTTTTGCGTGATGGGGAATCTCTGGGCCAAGGGCAGGGTTTGTGGGGATACAGATGTGGGTGGCACTGCAATGGTGATCATGGGGTCCAAAGACGGGATTCTCAGGGTTGCACAGTTGTGATCTGGGCTGGCCAGGAGGCTGAGCAGGGAGAATGGCTTGGCCCTTCCTGCCTCAATGTAACTGTGTGCTACATAGTCACTGTGGAAGTATGGGAACACAATATGACCCCCTCTGTTCCTCCTTCCTCAGTCTGTCCTGCCCTGTGGGTGAGTGTGCATTTTGTTTTCTGACCTGTGCACCAGCTTCTCGGGCCCCATACAGCCTGCAGCCCCTGCCAGAGGAGCTGCTTTCCAAGTACAGACGAGGGATGCAAGGCTCTGTAGCCTGGAGAGGGATCTGTCTGGGTCAGGCTTGGTGTCTTTGCTCTGACCTGTGTCCCAGAGGGCCATCTGGGGGCCAGTGTCTGTCCCTTCGCTAACTGACTTAGGACTATCTTAGGCCTCTTTGTCCCTGCAGTCCTCCTCGCTGCAGGAGCCATTTCTGCTGCTTGTATTAAACAGATCGGTAGTGACGAAAGAGATAGGAACCGTCCTGTCCAGAGCCACAGTAATTCTTCTCAGATGTTTCAGAACAGCAGCGGTCAGCCTTGGAGGTGGCAGAGTTCTGCGGCTCCGATGGGTCCCAGCTGACCCCACAGCTCATGGAAAGCATCCCAGACTCCATGTGCCTGCGGGTCATTAGTAGCATCCATTAGGAGAGTCCTGCTTCAGCTTTCTGTTTGGTGAAGCCCTGATTATCGAAGCTATTGAAGTCCAGTCAGTCAGCATCAGCCCTGAGGTTTCAGTCACTGGGGAGTCTTCAGCCAGTCTGGTTGTCTCCTTCAGTCAGAGTCTCCCGTAGCTTGAAGTGTGGTAGCCATGGTCAGCGGCTCTGGGGAAAGGCCTCAGCAGCATGGGAGCACTGAGACTGTGCAGTGTGACGTCACAGTGTACACCGCTAATTACAGACCAGGCGGAGAGGATCACCATGCCCCAGATACACGAGCTGGTTGGCACAAGGCAGAGGGACCCCAAGTGCAGGCAGTGGGCTTCTTTGCCCCCTCACCTACCCGGAAGAGCCCTCTTTGTACTGGGCTCCCACCCCAAGCCTACCTACCACTATCTTCTCAGGCTGATGATTGCTCACACACGTTTTCTGCTCTTCCCAGCCTCAGCCCGGTTAGCTGTGTCCACTCGCTGTAAAGTAGTGGCTGTACCGGCCAAGAACTCCCATGGACAGAGGAGCTCAGCTGTGAGCCCTGGGAAGTGGGTGGGGGAGGCTAGTAGCTACCACCATCCATTATTAGCTCCTGGCAAACACAAGTTTGTAATCAATTTGGGTTGTTGCTGTTTTGTTTTTTGTTTTTATTTATTTTTTTAATGTAGTAGGGGCTATGCCGTGGTGGTGCATGCCTTTAATCCCAGCACTCAGGAGGCAGAGGCAGGCGAATCTCTTGAGTTCGAGGCCAGCCTGGTCTACACAGAGAAACCCTTCCTGCCTTGAAAAAGAAGAAAAAAGAAAAAAAGGAATGTAGTAGGAAATCCACTGTCCCAGTGTTAGGCCCTAACTCTGCTATTTGGTAGATTAGATTTACACACCGTAAAGTGTGCAGTGTGGGTGAGCTGAAAAGGGTGTTCACCTCTTCGCCTACAGTCCTGTGGGCCTGACCTCACCCTGCCTGCCTTCCTCCTGAGGGTGTGGCCACTTCTTTCTGCTCCTGCCTCTCTCAGGCTTGCCTGTCAGACAGTTGGAAGCAACACAGAGGAAGGGAACTCTGTGCTGAGCTGGGAGCCCCTGGTCTCTCTCCTGGGGAAGACAGGCATGTCTCAGTGACTGATCCTTTTGGTTCCTGCCCTCAGCCCACCGAGCGCCCCCGAGCTGTGCCTCCTTTCCTTGTGTGGAGAGAGCTCCAGGCTGCTCTCCCTTGTCTAGCTTAGAGATGTGGAAAAGCCACTGCTTTTCAGGCTGCTTGTCAGACTGTTCTCCCCATTTCCTCCCAGCCTAGTAAATGCTCCTGGCTACTGCCCTGTGCCCCTCTTCTCCGCCCCCATGCCCCCCCTGCCCTGTACCTAGGCGCCCCCTATTGTAGGGAAGAGCAAAGAGCAGACCTCAGTCTCAGACCTTATCTGGGCCAGGAAGCTCTGGGTTTGTGGCTGGAGTTGCTCTCTACATAAAGAACAGGTGCCCATGGCAGCCGCCAGGAGCCACACTGCGTCATGCCAGTTACACTGTTACTGCCAGCCGTCCTATCTCGGGTGCAGAGATTATCCAGCACACAGGTGTGTGTTGATCTATGTGAGCTGCAGAGCTGCCCCATTGAGCTGAGGCCTGCCTGACCACAGGATGGGTGGCTCTGACTCACTAAGACTGGAGTGGGGCAGGCTTGTACATGTAGCTCCACTTGGCTCCAATAGCTGGCCATTTCCTGTGCTTTCTGGAACCGCAGTGTTCTGTGAAATAGCTCAACTGTCCCCACATTTCCTGGTGATGTGTTATATGTACGTTTCACTAGGGTTCAACAGATCTTGTGTTTTATATGCCACATCTTTAAAATTTGTACATGTGAATCAAAGGTCCTTCTCTCAAGAGATAGTTTCTGAATTAGCCCTGGGTGTTTACAGTGTTGCAATCTCACCTTGATGTGAAGCATTCAGCTCAATAGAGGCCCAGCCGCCAAGGTGCATACGTACCCATATGGACACTCAGATGTGCTCCTCAGGCCAAAGCCTGTGGCAGTCTTAAATGCCCCTCTGTGAGCTGCTGAATGCTTGTGTGTGGTTTGCGCCTTCCGACAGTTTTCACCACTGACCTCAGCTTTCCGTTCCAGCTTCCAGACTGATGGGCTGCACTCCGCCCCGAGAGCTGCCCATGGGAGGCCAGGAAGGCGAGCAGCTGCAACTGCAGAGGAACTGGCCACTACTCTCTGAGGGGGAAGCCCAGGAGCTGACACAGGTAGAGGGTCCCTACTGCCTCAGTGGACCAGTTCAGCATCTCTGTCCTTACTGCCTGAGCCTCATACCTCTCTTGCCTGAAGACAGGCCCTTGTTGGATTATGCATGCCTTTAACTAAGACAGTGGTTCTCAATCTGTGGGTCTCAACACCTTTGGGGAGGCTTCATGGGGGTCACCTAAGACCATCGGAAAACACAGATATTCACATTACAATTCATAATAGTAACAAAATTACAGTTATGAAGTAGCAACGAAAATAATGTTATGGTTGTGGGTCACCACAACATGAAGAACTGCATTAAAGGATCGCAGCATTAGGAAGATTGAGAACCACTGCTCTAAAAGGAGCTGCTTGTTCCCAGGCTTTGCTGTGTTTTTGTAGTTGGAGAAAGGACAGGAATGCAGCTGCCGTCCAAACTCTCTAGTTTCATGCCATACAAACTCACAGTGTGCACACTCTCTGCACGTACAATTGCCTCCCATTGTATATGTGTGTATGCATGTGTGTGGACTGTATGTGTATGTACTATATGTGTGCTGTGCCTGTTCTGCATATTATGTGTACTCTGTCTACTTACATATGACTGTGTAGTATGCATGTGCTCTGAGTCCATGTGTTTATGGTATATAGATACTGTATGTTGTGTGCTGTACATGAACACATGTTCTCCTCTAGAACCATGTATGTCCAGTTAAGGGTAAGTTAGCTTGCTCATATCTCTCGTATTCAACATTAGGTTCTGGAAGAAGTTTTCTACTTTTTCTCAGATGGTTGAAAGTTAAATACTCCACACAAATACTTGACATTTACTTCTCTGCGGTGACCCTGGACAGTGTGGTTGCCTCTCCTGATTCTGGAAGAAGCACCCCATCAGCATGTCATTTTCTTTACAGATATTTCAGTCTCTGTCCTTAGAAGATAAGAGAGCTGGTAGGTTGGGATGGGTTTCTCTGAGGAAGACTGAGAAAGACTTTCTAAAAACAAAACAACAAAAAGCAACAGACAGATAAGAGCTGTTAAGAAATCAGGAAGATGAGGATGAGGCAGTAGGATCATGAGTTGTGTGTGTGCATATGTATAAACGTACGTTCATACATGAATACACGCGTGATAGGTAAATGTAATCCTATTGATTTAGAAAATGAAAATGGGGGCTGAAGAGACAGCTTAACAATTAAGAGTATTTGCTTTTTGGGTTTGGTTTCCAGAAACCACATGGTTGCTCACAGCCATCTGGACTGCCTCCTCCTGGTCTCTGTGGGTACTGCTTGCACAGTGGACATGCATACATATAGACAAGAGTCATATACATAAAGTAAAGCTAAATAAATCTTTAAAAAAAAAAAAAACATGATTAAAATGCCGAGTCAGTGTTCACATTGCCCTGGACCTGCCATGAGGCCTGTCTGTTCTAATCAGGACCTGCAGCTGCATTCAAGATGGTAACCGCTCTGCCCCTCATCTGTGGGAGTCGTTGGTAAATACAGGTTCTGTTTGGTGGGGAGCAGGCATCCGTAAGCAGAGCACTGTCTGTCTGAGAGATGAGTGTGAACAGCCATTCAGTAAACCTCAGTTATGTGTCTGCATAGGCACAGACTTCTCTGAGCTCAGCAGCTTCCTCTTTGGGGAGGTGGTGGAAGTCATCTTTTCTATGAGATACTTTAACCATAGACCCCTGTTCCTTTTCTCTTGGTCCAGTGTTTATGTTTAAGCATGACCCAGGCACACTGCCTGTGACCGGCATCTTCTGTAGATCACTAGTCATACTGTCTTCAAGACCTTCTGGGTGTGGTCTTGCTTGTATGAGATTTTGAGAAAGCTGGTATGTCAAGGCCCACATCTCTGAGTTTCCACCGAGGACTCTCCTGAGAGCTTGGGCAAGAATGCATTGGCCTCAGGAGGCTGCATCTGAGGGTGCCTCATGCCAACCTTTATGATAACATCTGAGCCCCACAGTGTGTTAACTGCAATGATGGTCATGTAGTCGAGAGACCCCTCCTGTTTGTGAGCATCACATCTGTCTGCCTTCATCCTGAAGTTAAGGGTCAGACGGAAAGATGTCAGGATGAACATAGCCCAGGCCAGGGATGGAGTAGGACTCCACAGTGCCTGTCTGTGGCAGTACCTAGAGGTCCTGAAGTGGTCCCTGTTGGCAACATTGGGTATTATGTATAGAGGTCTTAGTGTTGGAACACTGAGATCAGTGGTGCTGCAAGGGGGTCTATGATGCCAGACTGGGCAGGTGGGAACTCTGTACTGGTCAGGGGATGCAGCCTAGCTTTACATGAAATGGTCTTTTGAAGGTAAAACACATGTTTCATATTTAGAGAGGAATTCCTAGCTGTACAGTTAAAGCTCACACACAAGTAGGAATGAGTTAAATTCTGGGGAAAACAAAAATGCAAGAAATCCTCCTCCATCCAGCTGTGGTTTTGGTTGCAGATGCTATTAAAGCCATTATGTTGAGATGTGTCCTGGTGATTTAAATTGCATTTGGGGATGCTAATGGGGAGGTGGCCAGGATTACACAGGGGCGGGAGTGGGCTGAGTGGGTGCGCGGTCTGTGGCCACCAGCTGCCGCGTCACTGCGGCTAGGGAGAAAGAGCCCAGGAGGCCAGAAGGAAACCAATCCCCTGGTTGACTTGGCAAAGCCCCTCAACTGACAACTGGCAGTGTCTGCTCCTCCTCAGAACTGTGGCTGCACTCGGTTCAAGGGCTCTGCAGAGCCACGCATTGGTGGTGGTGATGGACTGACAAATGATAAAACAGAAAATGGAGATTGCTCTCCCAAAGCAGGGCTCTCCTCGTTCGTGCAGGGTCTTCCTGTCTCTGTTTCTGTGTCCTGACCTGAGTTGAGAGGTTCTTCTTCTCACTTAACCTTTTACTGGGAAGCTACAGTAGAGATCAGGGTGATCAGGTGTGGTGGATTGTAGGCAGAATGATGCCTAGCCTGACAACAGACTGCGGCAGAGGAAGGGAGCCCCTGGGATTAAGAGCTCGTGCCATGCTCAGCAGGTGTGGTGGGCTCCTCACACCGGGCAGCAGAGGGCTGCCCTGCATGTTGGTCTTGCAACTTGATGTTTTATCTTTAGAGTCCCCCACCTGCTCCCTATACCCCAGCTCCACATGTACCTGTACGTGCCCATATAGTTAGCTGTGGATTTCTGGAAAGAAGCTGTGGTTCTCTATTGGTTATATAACCCACTTCAAGAAATTTGTGGGCCAGTGAAGTGACTCGGGGTAAAGGCATTTTACCAAGCCTGATGACCCAAGTTTGACCCTTAGGACCTACATGGAAGAAGGAGAAAACTAAGTCTCACAAGTTATTCTATGCCGGGAATGGTGGTACATGTTTTTAATCCCCAGAAATCAGGAGACAGAGGCAGGAGAATCTCTGTGAGATTGAGGAAACCTACTCTGCACAGGCCAACTAGGGCCTCACAGTGTGACCCTGTCTCAGAACAAAACAAAAGTGACAAATTAAGAACAAATTGTCTCACCACCACATGCATGTGTGTATACACAAAAAACTCCAAAAATAAATATAATAAAAAATTAAAGAAATTCATGTCTGCTATCTCTGCCTTTTAATTCCGTTTGAGCAAATGTGGAACATGGCTCATGGTCTTTACTACTCATCACCTCGGCCTGTTTTCCTTGGCCAGAGCATCACCGACTCGACTTCTGCACCCACACTGTCTGCACACTGAGACCATGTGTCTTCTTCACACAGGGCCATGTACCATGATGACCCTCACATGTGCTGCAGGTCTCATGGGCAAGGGTCACACATAGCCTGTAAGGATAGAGCCCAGGGGGACCCACTTGTCTGCCAGCCTGAGTTCAGGGTCCATCCCTTGAACAGTTTGTAGTGAGAGGAGGCGCTGAGTGTTGCCAGTGAACCATTTTCCCACTTTGAGTTATTGTGAGGCCCTGTCAAAGTCCATTAGCCATAGAAGGATGGGTTTCTCACTCTTTATTCTGGCCTATGGTCAGTGTTTTGATTATTATAGCTCCTTAGTAAAATTGCTAAGTATGTCATGCTTCTCTCGTTTATATTTTAGTTTTTGAGGCGGGGTTTCGTATAGCCCAGACTGCCTTCACACTCATTATGTAGCCGATATTGGCTTTGAACTCCCGAGCCTCCAGTCTCCCAAGTGCTGGGATTACACGTGTATACCGCACATCCAGCTCCCACTCTGTGAGAATTGCTTTGACTATTCTAGGTCCCTTCCACAAGAGTATGAAGTTTAGCCTTTCCATTTTGGTTTACAAACTGCAGCTTGCATTTTGACCATGCCTGCACCGGGTCACTTTGGGAGGTTCCGTGGCCAGGACAGCCTGAAGCCTTCTGGCCCGGCACCTAGGGAATCTTTCTGTTTGTTTCAGTCTCTAACTTCAGTCAGTGCACCTCTCCCCTCTTGTACTAGCCTGCTGTTTCATTCTCTAGGATTCTATCGTAAGCAGAATGATTTTCTCAGCTTCCTTTCCCAGTCCTTTGCTGCTGCAATAGACAGCTACAGGTTTGTGCTACTTTGGTCCTGTGCTGAGTTCTTTGCCCAGCCTGTTCACTTTTGTAGCTGAGTCTTAGGTTTTCTGCAGTCAGACAAGACCCTGGGAGCCATCTCAGTGCTGCTTTCCCAAGACTGTTGCATTTTTTTTCTTGCTTGCTTCACCATTTATAAATTCTTATTATTTTGTGTATGAGTGTTCGCCCACATATGTCTGTGGTGCCACATGCCAGCCCGATACCCTCAGAAGCCAGAAGAGGGCGTATGACCCCCTAGAATTGGAATTAGAGACAGTTGTGAGCTGACCTGTGGGTTCTGGGAATTGAACCCAGGTCCTATGGAAGAAGAGTCAGTGTTCTTAACCACTGCGGCCCCTTTCTTAACTCTTTTGACCTTGAGGGTGTGGGTGCCCTGTTGGTAGTTGCTATGCATCCTCTAGAAGAAGGTCCTCTGTTCTGTGCCCGAGCATTTAACCAGGAGGACATGCT